ATGAGGACAAAAGCAACATCAAGGTCAGCTACAGGCCAACACAAGTTAAATAATTTAACTTGAAAAGACGAGGCAGCTAGGTATATAGAGCACTGGCCCTGGAGTCAGCAGGACCCGAATATGGCCTCAGACACTTACTAGCTATGTGACCCTGAACAAGTCACTTAACCCCAACTGCCTCTAAAAACTAAAAAAAAAAAAAAGAAAGAAAAAGAAAAAGAAAAGGCTACAAGCCAAGACTAAAGTGGAGGGAGAGTTGGTGTGTGACTTCTTGTTCACAGATGATTGTGCGCTCAGTGCAGCCTCTGAAGCTGAGATGCAATAGAGTGTGGGTTGATTCTCTGCTGTTTGTACTCATTTTGGCCTGACAATAACACCAAAAAAACAAACAAACCAGAGGTTCTCCACCAGCCAGCACCATATCATCCATACATGGAACCATCAGTTCCAAATGGAGAAATTTTGAATGCTGTGGATAAGTTCACTTACCTTGGCAGTATACTTTCCAGGGATGTACACATAGATAATGAGGCTGATGCATGCACTGCCAGAGATAGCTCAGAGTTTGGGAGACTCCAGAGAAAAGTGTGGGACAGAAGAGGTATTAGGCTGCCTACCAAACTGAAGGTCTGCAGAGCCACTGTGCTGACCTCATTGTTGTATGCCTGTGAAACCTGGACAGTCTACCAGCTCCATGCCAGGAAACTGAATCGCTTCTATTTGCATCGTCTTAGGAAGACCCTGGAGATCACTTGGCAGGATAAGGCACGGACACTGAGGTCATTTCTCCAGCTGAACTGCCAAGCATTCAAACTTTACTTCAGAGAGCACAACTCCAACAGGCTGGCCACGTTGTTCCAACACCAGATGCGCATTTACTTAAAAGACTATTTCATGGAGAACTCTCACAAGGCAAGAGCTCACACGGAGGTCAGAAGACGTGGTACAAGGACACTCTCAAGGTCTCTCTGAAGAACTCTAGAATCATTGTGAGACATGGAAGACAGTGGCACAGGACCGCCTAGCAAGGTGTGCCTACATCAAAGGTGGCGCTGTGCTCTATGATTGAAGCAGAATTGTAGTAGTTCAAAAGAAACGTGAGATGTGCAAATTTAGTCATCTCCACTCCAAATGTTCACGTGGACGACTTGTGTCCCACCTGTGGTAGAGCCTCCTGAGCTATTGGTCTGATCAGCCTGATACATATCAGGCTTGGCCCCAACATAGTGACATCATTTGGTCCTCTTTGAGCAAGAAGGACAACAGCCATCCAATAGATTTCCATGTCTTCTCCCCATTAGACTCTGAATTCCTTGTGTGTGTGCAGTTTTTATTTTTATTTTATTTTTATTTTTTGGCCTTTCTTTGTATCCCCAGTGCTTAGCGTAATGCCTGGTGCATTTTGTGTTTATTGTTTTAGTCATTTTCAACCATATCCACATAGTAAGCACTTAATAAGTGCTCAGAATAAATGTTTGATTGACTTTTTAGAGACAGAGGGAAGAAATAAGCTCAACCAGGTGTAAAGTTGCTGAATTAGATTTAAGGCTGGAAGTCCAGCAAAACAAACAAACAAACAAAACCCCCCTTCCTAACAATAAGAGTTGTAGCCTTTGAAGGTCTTAGCATCCCTGTCATGAATGATCTCCAGGCGCATGACCACATGTCAAGAGTATGTTGTAGAAGGGAATCTTGGTCACCTCCCTGGCTTCCAAGATACCTTCCAGGTCTAAGATTCTGTGACCAGATTAGCCTCCAGTCTTAGGGGGTTTATGCCTTCCCTAGTTGGATTAGGTCTTTTATTTTTATTTTATTTTAATTTTAATTTTTTTCTTTTTTGGTGAGGCAATCGAGGTTAAATGACTTGCCTAGCGTCACACAGCTAGTAAGTATCATGTGTCTGAGGCCAGAGATGACTCTAAATGACTCTAGGCCTGGTGCTCTGTCCACTGAGCCATCTAGCTGCTCCTGGATTGGGTCTTTTAAACAGAATCTGTCCTTTCAGCCAATGAAACAAACGAATAGGTGGGGATGTTTTCCTTTAAATGGTTCAGGAAGGGCAGGCAACAACCATGGTGGGGGTGAGAAAAATAAGTCTACTTTTTCTCACTTTTGTACTCTTGCTGACCCCATTGGGGTTTTCTTGGCAAAGATACTGAAGTGGTTTCCCATTTCCTTTTCCAGCTCATTTTACAGATAAGGCAAACAGGGTTAAGTGATTTGCCCAGGGTCACACAGCTAGGAAGTGTCTGAGGCTGTATTTGAGCTCAGGACTCCAGCCTGTCACTCTATTCACTGCACTATCTAATTGCATTTTTTTTTTTCTCACTAGGGCAATGGAATGAGAACTCTTGTCCCTGAGGTATTCTGATGTCATAAACCCTGCTTTATGTAGCAAGCAGGAAGATATTTCTTAAGGGTACAGCTACTAAATAAATCTTAAACCAGGAAACCTTGGGAAGGACATCGACAATGATGGATGGTATGACAAGTTAAACTCGGGGCAAACTCAGGGTGCTTGCCTGTCTCTTAGCCACTGAACCCAAAGGGGAGATGTTAAAAAAAAACCCCTGTTCTTCTAGGGACTGTTATTTTCTTTCCTTTTTTTAAACATTTTTACTTAACATTTTGAGTTCCAAATTCTAACTCTCTCTCTCCTCCCCCCTCCCTCATATGGTAAGTAATCAGATATAGGTTGTGCAATTATGTAAAACATTTTCACATTAGTCATTTTGTACAAGAAGACGAACAAAAGAAAAAAAGAAAGAAAGAAAGTGAGAAATAGCCTGCTTCAATCTGTATTGAATCAATATCAGTTCTTTCTCTGGAGGCAGTTAGTATGCTTCATCATTAGTCCTTTGGGATTGTCTTAGCTGAGAAGAGCTAAGTCATTCACAGTTCTTCATCGAACAATATTGCTGTTGCTGTGTACAATGTTCTCCGGGTTCTGTTCACTTCACTTGCACCAGTTCATGTACGTCTTCCCAGGTTTTTCTGAAATCATCCTGTCATTTCGTATAGCACAATAATATTCCATTATAATCATATATCACAGCTTGTTTAGCCATTACCTAATTGATGGGCATCCTTTTGATTTCCATTTCTTAGCCACCACAAAAAGAGCTGCTATAAATATTTTCGTCCAGTTAGGTCCTTTTCCCTTTTTTGGATGTCTTTGGGATATAGACCTAGCAGTGGTATTGCTGGATGAAATGGTATGCACAGTTTTATAGCCCTTTGGGCTTAGTTCCAAATTGCTCTTTAGAATGGTTGGATCACCTCACAACTCCACCAACATTGCATTGGTGTCCCAGTTTTCCTACATCCTCGCCAACATCCAACATTTTCCTTTTTGTACTGTTACTTTCTTTTTCTTTTCTTTTCTTTTTTTGCTTTCTGGTGAGGCGATTGGGGTTAAGTGACTTGCCCAGGGTCACACAGCTAGTAAGTGTTAAGTGTTGGAGGCTGGATTTGAACTCAGGTCTCCTGCTTCCAAGGCCAGAGCTCTATTCACTGAGCTACCTAGCTGCCTCTGGACTGTTATTTTCAAACAAGAGTGTGTGATCTTGGGAGAGTCCTTTCTCTTTCATCTGTAAAATGGAAATGGTGTATTTGATTTCCAAGGTCCCATCTAAAGTCTGTGATGTCGCTCCATTGGGAGGAGTACAGGGTAGAGAGTTAGGAGAAATCTGAGTGAACTTTGGACTTTGGTTTGCCACAATGTCATTTGACATCCTTCAGTTTTCTAATATGTAAAACAGGTTCAATAATTGCTGCCTACCCAGGTTTTGCAAGGATAGGATATGGAGAGTAGAGGAGACCACTGATTCATGTCCTTTGCCAATGGTACAAGTACAGTTTTTTGTTTAAAAAGGTAGTCAGTAGCACTGGAGTGTAGGCAGGGCAGGATTTCAGTGATGAGGAAGAAGACAGTTTCCCACAGGGTCTTAGATCTTGCTAGGGCCTTGATCCTTGCATTTTCAGGATTTTTGCTACTCTTTAGAGAGACCAAGACTCAAAATTCGATGCAGAAGCTCAGATACCCTTTGGCATTTTCTTTGGGTAAGGAGCACAACCCTGCCCACTTCACCTCTGACATCCCTACACATTTAAAAAATTTAATTCCCTTTGGGTGCTCTTTACCCCTCTCCCGTGGAAAGAGAAAAACCCGGAAGAGATTAGGAGACTACAGGACTGCTAAGAATGCTAACTAGAAAACCCAGACTGCATTTAAATGGAAGCTTGAATCTCGGGTTCATAGAGGCTCCACTTCTCCAGAGACCTTACAGGCAGGTCCTTGAGCACCTGGCAGTCCTTGTAGACTGTTCACAATTATCTGGTGACTTTCTTGTTTCTGCAGTTCATTCCATACACACCTACTATGTGCTGGGCATTGGGAATACCAAAGAGAAAAAAGGAGGTAGGGGGAGCTTTAGTCCTATAGGGAATATGTCCAGTGACACACAGCATCCAGAGACCCAGAATGTCGTAACTGGAAGAGACCTTAATGATCCTCTGGTTCATCACCTTCATTTTACAGAGGAGTAAACTGAGACCCAGAGATGAGGTGTGACATATACAAGGAAAGCGCACATAGCATCAGTCCTCATCAGAGCTAGAAGGGATCTTGGAGTTCTCGGCACACAGTAGGGGCTCAATAAATGCTTGTTGATTGACTGTTAGTCCAGGCCTTCTCATTTGACAGATGAGGAAACTGAGGCCCAGAGGAGCAAACTATCTCAGGGGACATTCGTAGCCAGTCTGGCAGAATGCGGACTTGCACGCAGGTCCTCGGACCCCGGACCCCGACTTCCAGGGCTCTTGTGCCCAGCGGCAGTTTCTGAAGCGCCCCCCCCCAAGCCCCCGGGGCCTCAGGGGCGGGGACTCGGGGCCGACCAATTCAAGGGCGCAGGGCGTTCCCCTTTAAGGGCGGCCCCGCCCGGGGCGCGGGCGCCTAGTCACGTGAGCGGCAATGTTGCAGAGGCGCGGACACAGTCGCTACAATGTATCAGGGCGGCTGTCTGGCCCTGGGGCTGGCGCTGGCGCTGGGGCTGGCGCTCAGCCTGCCCCAGCCCTCGCTGCCGCCGCCGCGCTCCAGGAGCAGCTCGGTGGTGATAGACCCGGCCACGGGCCAGCTCAGCGTGGTGGAGGGCTGGGAGGCCGGGGCCATCGCCTGGGCCAACCTCTCCAACGCCATCGACGAGAAAGGGTGAGGTTCGGGGGCTGCGGCCGGCGGGGGTTGGGCTGGGGCTGGGGCTGGGAGGGGCTTGGGAGGGGGCTAGGGCAGAGGAAGGAGTTGTGGCTGGGGAAGGGGTTAGGGCTGGGGTTGGGGAGGGCCATGGCTATCCTAGATCAGACTCCTCACACAATGTCCAACTCCCCCAGCTAAATCCTATCAGGTTAGGAAGTCCCAGGCACCAGGACTTGGGACTCCAGGCCTTAGGTAACTTTTGTGAACTGGTCCTGTGCCCATCCCCACTCTGGGGGCCAGGACTTAAAGATTTTTCTGGCCAAAGCTCTGCCCTAGACCTTTCAGAGCGTCCAGCCTTCTGTATGGAACTACTGGGTTAGGACTTTGGGTTCCTGGCAGCCCTAACGGACCAGTTCTTTCTGCATGAGCATAACCACTTCCCCCTCCTCATCCCTGACCCCACTTCAGGGGTTGTGACATTGACTAACCCTCGAGCCCCGTATCCATGGGGAATCGGGCGAAATAGGTCCTATAGACTAGCACTTCTGTGGGGCCTGTCCTTCCATAAACACTGCCTTTCCCACTTTGTCAGGGCTGGAACTCAGGGTTTTTGAGTGTCCCTGTAGACTTGGCCTCTGGCCATCATCTCTTCCGTCTCCACTCTTGGGGGGCAGGAATTCTGGGTTTCTGGCAGTACCTGCAGCCTTGGCCAGCCCTCCCCCACCCCACCCCACCCCTGGGGTTTGGGCTTCTGGCAGCCCTTATAGGCTAGCCCCTTCAATATGACCAGCCCTCTATCCATGACCACTTGCCTTTCCCACTCAGGACTTTGGATTTCTGAAAGTTTCTATGGACTTAGCTCTGTGGCCAGCATTCGTACCCTCCATATTCTTCGGGGGTTGCCACTGTTTTTCGGTCCCTAAAAGCCCCTGGCTACCAGACCAGGCCAGAGATGTTGATACTCAGAAGAGGCAGCCTCTCCCAGCCTTGAATGCCTAAGGGCTCAGCCCCTGAAGACCCCATCTCTACCCTTTCATCCTTTTTCCCCCGGGTTTGCTCAGAGGTTTGACCCTAGGAATAGATATGTTTCAGTAGGAATGGGTTCCAGTCCTGGCTTGGCTTCTGACTCCCACTGAGACCTTGGGTGAGTCCCTTCTCTTTGTTCCTCCTCTCTGTGGAGCTTCTCAGTCCGGTGGAGGGGTGTGGACCAAGTTATCTATGGGGTTCTTTCTGCTTCTGATTAGTCTGTGAGTATTGGTGGCTGTAGTGCACTTGGATAGATTGGGAGGTGGGTGCAGAGAGCATTGAATGTCAGAGCTGGAGAAGGCCTTAGAGCTTTTGTAGAAGGAAGGGAGGTAAGAAGCAAGGATTTATTTAGTACTTACTGGTGCCAGGCACTATGCTAAGCCCTTTTTTTTTTCTTTTTGAAATTTATTTATTGCCTCATTTCTACATTCATTTTAATAAGATTTTGAGTTGCGAAGTTTTCTCCTTCCCTCCCTAAGACAGCAAGCAATCTGATATAGACTATACATGTACAATTGTATTACACACATTTCCACATTAGTCATGTTGTGACAGAAGAGTCAGAACAAAAGGGAGAAACCACAGGAAAGAAAAAAATAAAAAACAATGGAAATAGGATGCTTCAATCTGCATTCAGACTCCATGGTTCTTTTTCTGGATGTGGACAGCATTTTCCATCTTGAGTCTTTTGGAATTGTCTTAGATCATTGTATTGTTGAGAAGAGCTAAGTCTGTCTTGTCGATCATCTGTGCTAAGCACTTTTACAAATGCTATCTCATTCAATCCTCACAACATTCTGAGCTTGGCGCTGTCATATAGAAGGGGACACTGTCCCCCCTCCCAGGTGTGGTTTTGGGGAAAGGGCTCTGAGTCCAGTGAAATGACACTGCTGCCAGGGAGGCTGAGCTGCAGTGGGTGAAGCCGATGGGCTGTCCACACTAAGTCTGACACCCATCTGGTGAGCCCCCAGGAGTGGGGGGCCAGGCTGCTTAAGGAGGGGCAGACTGACCCATGTTAGAAGTGGAGCGGGTCAGAGCTGCACTCACTCTGAGGGCTCATTCTCATCATGGAAGGAAGGCGAATTCTTGTTTTCCCCTGGGAAGTTGAGTTGGCAGAGGTCAGCAGCACCCCCTCACTCCTATGGCCTGTGTGTCCATCTAGGCAGGGATGGGGAACCTGTGGCCCTCTAGGTCCTCAAGTGCGACCCTTTGACTGAATCCAAATCCTCTTAATAAAAGGATTTGTCCTGTACAACTTGAACTTGGTCAAAAGGCCACGCCCAAGAACATATGGCTCAAGGCTGCAGGTTCCCCACCCCTAGGAGGGTCGGGACTGCTCCCCCTGCCCTCCAGGGGGTCTTGGGAGGAAGATACCTGATGGATGGCTGTTTGCCTCATGGCCCTGGCAGGGAGGGAACAGCTGAGTAGGCAGGGACTGACTCTGGAAGGGTTTTGGATGCCCGGTCTGGCACATCAAAGGCACTGAGGGCTGTCTGGGTGCCCCAGCCAGGCGCCCATCTGCCTCCAGCCTCCATCATCAAGGAGTCGGGCGGCGGGCCTGCGTTTTTGTACGGTGATCTGAACCACTTTTATTGGACCCTGCCGACTCCCTTGGAAGCAGGACAGAGAAGGAGGTGGGCTGCTGATGCCGTTGGGCAGAAAGCAGATCAGCACCGTTGGGCGTCTGCCATAGTCAGTGTTGTCCTGGGTGCTGGGAGGGGTGCTCATGGGTAGGATATAAAGGAAAACATTTCTGCCGTTCTTGGCCCTTATCTCCCATCTCCTTCTGTTTGTGCAGGGTCTCCCCCATGCCTGGAGTGTGCTTCTACCTCATCTTGCCCTCTGGCTTCTCTTCCTCCAGGCAGCCTTCCTTGATCTCCCCAGCCCTTCCAGCTGTCGGTTTTCTGTCTCAGTTACCCTGCAGTCTATTTCTCTGCCAACATCTGGGGGCAGGGCTTTTCTTTTTGGCCTTGGATTGCCTTGCACACAGCCAGTAAATGCTTACTGTTGAAATGATTTCTCGGCCAGCTGGTGAGTCAGGACAAACTTGAGGGAGACAGAGGGACACCCACAGCCAAAACATGACCAAGTCACGGTGAAACCCTGTCACGGAGACTTGGAGTCTAGGAGAGACCTGGGTTCGAATTCTACCTCTTGATACTCACTATCTGTCCCTCTTGGGGCCCTCAGTTTCCTCATCTGTAAAATAGGGTGAAGGATTTGGGAGTACCTACTTCCCAGGAAAATACTTTGTGAGTTTTAAAGCCCTATGGGAAGGAAAGGAATACAGTTGGGCAGAGAGGCAATAGGCAGGGGCGTATATGGAATGACAAGCCTCTTGTGAGGTCAGGAGCCCCAGGGAGGTGCTGGTACCTGTGTTCTCTAAGCCCTTTGGGCCTGGCCCTCTGTCAGTCACCCAGGATGTAGACCTAGGAAGGAGCCTGGCACCCAACCCTGCTCATGGGTCATAGGTGGCTGGTCTCTCACCAGTCCCCCGGCTCCAGAGGGGATGGCAGCCTGTGAAGGCTGTGAGCTCCTTGGCTTTTTAGGGTGGGGCCGGAAAAATGGGATCCTGAGATTTATCGTATCCTGGCCGGAGGGCCGAGACCAAGCAGGGGTGAGGAACCTGTGGCCCTGAGCACACATGTGGCCCTCTAGGTCTTTGGGTACGGCCTTTTGACTGAGTCCAAGTTTTACGGAACAAATTCTTTTATTAATATTCACAGATCTGTTCTGTGAAGTTTGGATTCAGTCAAAGGGGCTTTCTTGTTCCAAATAAGCCTTTTGCTAAATGCTCCATCCCCCTCCTGGTAGCCCTGGTCAGGTATTTCAACTGTAAGATGTTTTTTGGCTTGTAGCCATATCTGGAAAAGGAGTTGCGGAGACTTAAAAGCTGTTTAGGAACTGAGTATAAAAATATTACCCACATCTCTGGTGCTTTAAATTTCATGATGCTTACATTCCCATCTTAGAGATAGGGAAACCGCCTTGTTTAAAGTTCCAGATCTAGTAAATGTAACCCAGGTTTCCTGACTCCAAATCCAGTGTTCTTTCCTCGTATGGTGCTGGACAATGAGGTTTTCGATCTGTGACTTTGTAACATGAAGAATCCCCAGTGAAGAAAACAATAGCTGGCATTACATAGTGATTTAAGATTTGTCAAGCACATTATGGATAATATGTCATTTGGTCCTCACAGCAACCCTGGGAGGTAGGTGCTATTATTATCCCCATTTTATGGATGAAGAAGCTGAGACAGACAGGTTAAGTGACTTGCTCAGGGTCACACAACTAATAAGTGTCTGAGGCCAAATTTGAATCTGGGTCTTCCTTATTTCAGACCCAACCCTCTGTCTACCATACCATTTAACTGCCTCTACCAATGCAGATGGCTACCTGCCACTTTCTCTGCATTTTGGAGTTCTAGCCAGTTGCCCAGGGCCCCAAGCAGCAAATGGCTTTTCCAGGGTTAATTACTGAGCCAGTGAGTATCAGAGGCAGGATTAGAACTCAGGTCTTCCTGACTCCAAGACTGATGCATTATCCACTCTGTCATGTTTCTTTTAACTTTCAAACCCCACATCTATTTTATTTCTTTTTGTCTTTATGTCAACCCTTTGAGGTAGGCAGGGTAGGGATAATTCTTCCCATTTTAAAAATGATGGAACAGGGGGCAGCTAGGTGGCGCAGTGGATAGAGCACTGGCCCTGAAGTCTGGAGGATCTGAGTTCAAATCCGGCCTCAGACCAAACACTTGACACTTAACTAGCTGTGTGACCCTGGGCAAGTCACTTAACCCCAATTGCCTTAAAAAAAAATGGTGGAACCGAGGCCTGGAGAGGTTGTGAGTCACTCAGGGCTGAGCAATTCCGTTTTCTTCATTGTGCTCAGAGGGAGGAGAGAGTAAAATAGTTAGTGATAGAAGGGCTTGCCATGGGGAGGAGACTGATCATAAAAGGAATCATAGATTAAGATCGCATGGTTCTCCAGGG